CTCCCAATGGCCCCTCCAAAATCTGATGGACTGTAAACTGGCTCTATGTTTAGAAAGTTTGGAGGCCCCTGCTGTGGACAATGAAGAATGGGGGGCTTCTTGGTACTAGCAATACCATGGTTATTGCTAGCAAATTCAGACCAAAGCAGGGAGGGTGCCTCAGTCATCATTTATGGGTTGGCACTAGCTCATGAATGTATTGTTCTAGCTAATAAATGACTCTCAGTTTTGTCCATTGGTCTGAGGATGAAGATGAGAATAACTGAAGGGAATCTTTCAGAGATTTACAGAGGATTTTCTAGACGCAGGTATTGAATTGGATTCTGCAGTCAGAAACAATGCATGTTGGCATGCCATGAAGTCTGAAGATTTCCTTGATGAATATGGACACCACTGCTGCAATCCGAGGGCAAAGAGAAGGAGATTTAAATGTACCACCGTAACAATAATGATCTGCCAATGCCATCAGAAGAGATTGGTAACAAAATCTATAGAGAGTTGGTGCCATGGTTCTCTAAATTTGGTAGCAGTAGAGGAGGACCTCAGATGCATGTGGGGTGACTTGGTATGGCTGCAATCTGCAAAACTTTAATATAGTGCTCTACATCCTTTTGGAGATTAGACCACCAATACAACTGACAAAGAAATGTGAGAGTTGTTTGGAAACCCAGGTGTCTAGCAAAAATAAAAAGCTTTGATGCATGGGATCAATGTAGGAGTTTATGTCTTAGCTGTGAAGGCACTACAGTAGAGTCGTCTCCCAGTGGGGAATAGCAGATTCTTGCATAAAGATCATGGCCAGGTTATAAGTGTGGAATTCTGGCTAACCAGCAACCTGTAATATTGAGAGTCAAAGGAGAGTCAGCTTTGGAGTTGGTGGCCTGGGCCTTGTAAGTGATCAAAAAGTAAAATGGAAAAAAAAACAAGGGCTAGCAAGTTTAGGCAATTGGACATTTTTAAATGGAGGTTTCTATGGTTCGTGTTAGATCGAGATACAGTGAGGTAAGCCTTCTAGGAGATATTGTCATTCCTCAAGAGTCAGTTTAAGGGCAGACATTCTTGATCCAGATGGACAATGTTTCCCTGGAGAGAATTTCTTTGAGAAAAAGGCACAGGGATGTCTAGCCCTATAAAGGGCATGAATTAGGATGGCACAATTCCCACAGAAGATGCATCAATCTCATTGCAGAAGTGTTTTATGATATCCAGTCTCAATAGGGCAGGACCAGAAAGGAGGGCTCACTTCATACATGGAAAGCCTCACCTGCATTGGGAGGCCAGGGTTTGGAGTTGGCATCTTTCCAAGAGAGAGCTCCTTAGGGGCAATCAGAACTTTGTAGTTGATAAACTGAAGGTAATTTGTGAATCTTATAAAGTGCTGTGTGGCTTTGCGACTGCTGGGTAGGGGCCAATTAATGATGGCAGCTTTATTTTTTTAGGGTCAAGGAGGCATTGTAATACAGTGTAGACATGATGTTTTTGTGTGAGCTAGTGCAGGAGAAAATTAGTATATCAAAAGAAGACAATAATATATTTGTAAAAAAGATGTTAGAAGGTTTTGTTTACAAAGTGCTTAAAGAATGTAGAAGTGTTACAGCAGCCAAATGGCTTCAAGAGGTACTCATAGTGACTGTTCCTGGTATTAAACACAGTTTTCCATTCATCTCCTTTGATGCAAATTAGGTTTCAAATCGTAGGTGTTAACAACAAGGAAGGAAATACACAGCTCAAAAAAAATTAAAGGAACGCTTTTTAATCAGAGTAGAGCATCAAGTCAATTAAACTCCTGGGATATTGATATGGTCACTTAAGTAGCAGGGGGGGTTGTTAATCAGTTTCAGCTGCTTTGGTGTTAATGAAATTAACAACAGATGCACTAGATGGGCAACAATGAGACAACCCCCAAAACAGGAATGGTTTTACAGGTGGAGGCCAATGACATTTGTTTCCCTACTCATCTTTTTTTTTACTGTTTTTCACTAGTTTTGCATTTAACTAGGGTCAGTGTCACTATTGGTAGCATGAGGCGATACCTGAGCTCTACAGTGGTTGTACAGGCAGTCCACCTCCTCCAGGATGGCACAGTGGTTGTACAGGCAGTCCACCTCCTCCAGGATGGCACATCAATACGTGCCATTGCCAGAGGGTTTGCTGTGTCTCCCAGCACCGTCTCAAGAGCATAGAGGAAATTCCAAGAGACAGGCAGTTAATCTAGGAGAGCTTGACAGGGCTGTAGAAGGTCCTTAACCCATCAGCAGGACTGGTATCTGCTCCTTTGTGCAAGGAGGAACAGGATGAGCACTACCAGAGCCCTACAAAATGATCTCCAGCAGGCCACGGGTGTGAATGTCTCTGACCAAACAATCAGAAACAGACTTCATGAGGGTGGCCTGAGGGCCCGACGTCCTCTAGTGACTCCTGTGCTCACTGCCCAGCACCATAGAGCATTTGCCATTGAACACCAGAATTTGAAAATCACAGAGCGCCAATGGCAGGTTTGCCGAGATGAGAGCAGGTTCACCCTGAGCACGTGACAGACATGAAAGGGTCTGGAGAAGCCATGGAGAATGTTATCCTGCCTGTAACATCGTTCAGCATGACTGTTTTGGTGGTGGGTCAGTCATGGTCTGGGGAGGCATATCTATGGAGGGACGTACAGACCTCTACAGGCTAGCCAATGTCATCTTGACTGCCATTAGGTATTGGGATGAAATCCTTGGACCCATTGTCAGACCCTATGCTGGTACAGTGGGTCCTGGGTTCCTCCTGGTGCATGACAATGCCTGTCCTCATGTGGCGAGAGTATGCAGGCAGTTCCTGGAGGATGAAGGAATTGATACCATTGAATGCCCCCCCCCCCATGCTCGCTTGACCTAAATCCAATAGAACACCTCTGCGATATCATGTTTAGGTCCATCCAATGCCGTCAGGTTGCACCTCAGATTGTCCAGGAGCTCAGTGATGCCCTGGTCCACAGTTGGGAGGAAATACCCCAGGACACCATCCGTCTCATTATGAGCATGTCCCAACATTTTTAAGCATGTGGGGGCCATATAAACTACTCAGTACCATTTTGAGTTGCTGCAGTGAAATTTCAGCAAAATGGACTAGCCTGCTGCATCATTTTTTCACTTTGATTTTTGGGGTGTCTTTGAATTCAGTCCTCTGTAGGTTGATAATTTTCATTTCCATCAAACGATGGGATATCCTTATGTTCCTAACACATTACTCAGTCCATATCAGTATAGATATCCAGCATGATATTTTTCTCCATTGAGATCTGATGTGTTTTCAAAGTGTTCCTTTAATTTTTTTTGAGCAGTGTAGTTGTGTGGTGCAGCACACTAACAGAAATTTTACCAGGCAAGGTTCAAGAAGGCATAAGTCCATAGGAAATTATGGTCCTATCTACCGTGGAGATACTAAGGGGCTTGGAGACAGGCTCATGGGACCAGGCAAACTTTTTGGTGAGGGATGCAGAAACAAAGTTGCCAACTACTCCCAAATTTAGGATGGCTTCAAGACAGCTGTGAACTCATCAATATGCAACTTCACTGTGATTGTGGGATATTGGGAAGAGAAGAGGGGTCTAGCAAGCCCCTCTTCCAGGCATACTAGACGCTAGCGTTTCTTGGCTACTGTGGACATTGCTTAAGAAAGTGTAATTTTCTGTCCCCAGTAAATACTCAGGCTTGGGATTGACATTTGTACCTTTCCTCATGGGATAGTCGAGAGTCCAGAAGTGGTGTTGGAAAGTATGTGCCAGTCTAAGAGAAAGAGCTTTCCACAGGACCTCACTACTATAGGCAAGATCAGTTGCAGAAATACTGTTTTATTGTAAGCAAACCTTGGTTAAGGCGTAAGGGGCACTCGCCGAAGAGGAGACTCAAGTTGGGTCATCAAAGATTCTTTGAAAGAGACCAATGTTGTAGGTCACAGGGTTGCCTATTTCCTTGAATGGACATTTCCAGACCAAAGCTTCCTAAAATAGCAAAAAGGGACACAGGTCACATTAGTGCAGTCCATAGGAAGGTTTCGTGGTTGAAACTCAAAGTGAACTTTACACTGTTTTACAAACCCAAAGATTTACCAAAGAGTAACACAGCAAAAATGGAACTACAGTGGCAGGGAGTGCCTGAATTTTGACTTTTGCGAAAAAAAAAGAGCCAAACATGTAAGCAGGAAATGAAATTTCTTGAAGTGGATTGTAAACTAATGGTTGCAAGAAAATAACATGATTTTTTGAACTGTTTTACAAAATTACAGCAGCTGCCGATTCAAAATAAAAGACCATTTTTAGTGAAATTTAATTGTCTTGCCATTACACAAAGTATGTTAGTATTTTTTAGAGCAAGTAGTGTTGTTTTATAGCCCATTTGTATTTTTTTGTCTAATGAAGTCTAAGAAAAAAAAGGACAGCATACATTATGATTTTTTTTTTAACCAATGTCATATTGCTGCCATAACATTATGATCACTGACAGGTAAACTGAATAACATTAATTATCTTGTTACAATGGCACCTGAAAGTGGGTGGGATATATTAACTTCTTGCCGACCGCGCATAGCCGAATGACGGCTTCACCGCGGCCGGCCAGTTCTGAGTGGACGTCATATGACGTCCTCCCAGAACGCGCTCTCCTGCGCGCTCCAGGGGGCGCGCACCCGGCGATCTCCGCGATCGCTGTGTCCTACGGACACAGCTGATCACGTGATGTGGTGAAAGGCCGATCCCACCGGCCTTTTACCACGTGATCAGCGGTGTCCAATGACACGCTGATCACAGGGAAATGCAAGTGCCGGTTCTCGGCTGCACTTTCCTCACGCTGTCAGATCGTGAGGAAAGTACTGCCGAGAACCGGCAGTTGTCAGAGCGAGGATCGGCACCGATCATCAGGGCACTGATGATCAGTGCCCTGATGATCGGTGCCCAGCAGTGACACCCGCAAGTTCCGCCCAGCAGTGCGCCCACTAGCCCCGCCCACCCGTTCCCAGCAGTGCCCCCACCTGTGCCCAGCAGTGCCCCCACCTGTGCCCAGCAGTGCCCCCACCTGTGCCACTCTGCAGTGCCACCTACCTGTGCCCAGAAGTGCCACCTACATGTGCCCAGCAGTGCCACCCACCTGTGCCCACCCACCAGTGCCACCCACCAGTGTAGCCCAGCAGTACTGCCAGTCAGTGCCACCAGTCAGTGCCCAGGGGTTGTGCCAGTCAGTGCCGCCAGTCAGTGCCCAGAAGTGATGCCAGTCAGTGCCGTCTATCAGTACCCATCATCAGTGTCACCTATCAGTGCCGCCTATCAGTGCTGCATATCAGTGCCGCCTATCCGTAACCCCTAATTAGTGCTGTCTATCAGTGCCACCTATCCGTGCCACCTCATTAGTACTGCCTATCAGTGCCCTTTAGTGCTGCCTATCACTGCCCATCAGTGCCGCCTATCAGTGCCCATCAGTGTCGCCTCATCAACGCAAATCAGTGAAGGAGAAAAAATACCTGTTTGAAAAATTTTATAAAAGAAACAAATAAACTTTTTTTTTTTTTTTCAAATTTTTGCACTTTTTTTAATTTATAGCGCAAAAAGTAAAGCGCCCAGTGGCGATTAAATACCACCAAAAGAAAGCTCTATTTATGAGAAAAAAATGATCAAAATTTCATATGGGTAAAATGTTGCATGACCGCGCAATTGTCAATCAAATTGCGACAGCGCTGAAAGCTGAAAATTGGCCTGGTAAGGAAGGGGGTATAAGTGCCTGGTAGGCAAGTGGTTAAGGAGCAAGTGAACATGTTGACCCTGAAGTTGATTTGTTGAAAGCAGAGGAAATGGGTGTGTGTAAGGATTTCAGCGACATGGACAAGGGCCAAATTTTAATGACTAACTGACTGGATCAAAGCAACTCCAAATCTACAGTTATTGCCAGTCTGCAGTGGTCAGGACAGATCAAAAGTAGTCCAAGGAAGGAAAACTGGTGAGGCTCACTGATTCACATCTGGAGCAAGGCTGGCCCATGTAGTCCGATCCATTAGAAGCACTACTGTAGCTCAAACTGCTGAAAAAGTCCATGCTGGTTCCAATAGAAAGATTTTAGAACACACAGAGCATCACAGTTTGTTATGTATGGGGCTGTGTATCTGCAGACCAGTCAGGGTGCCCATGCTGCTGTCCACAGCCAGAAGTGTCTACAATAGACACATGAGCATCAGAACTGGACCATGGAGCAATGGAAGAAGGTGGTCTGCTCTGATGAAATACTTCTTTTACATCATGTGCATGGCTGTGTGAGTGCGTGTCACTTACCTGGGAAGAGATGGCACCAGGATACACTGTGGGAAGAAGGCAAGCAGGTGGAAACAGTGTGATGCTTTGGGTGATGTTCTGCTGGGAAACCTTGGCATTCATGTGAATGTTACTTGACACGTACCGCCTACCTAAACATTGTTGTTGACCAAGTACACCCCTTCATGGATACAGTATACCCTGGTGGCAGTGGTCTTTTTCAGCAAAATAATGCCCCTGCCACACTGCAAAAATGGTTCAAGAATGGCTTGGCCTCCAAATTCTCCAGATCTCAATATAATTCAGCATTTGTGAGACGTGCTGGAAAAACAAATCCAATCCATGGAGGTCCCACCTTGCAATTTATAGCACTTAAAGGACCTGCCATTAACAGCTTGGTGCCAGATACCACAGCATACCTTCAGAGCTCTAGTGGAGTCCATGCCTCAATGGGCCAGGGCTGTTTTGCAGGATATATATATATATACATACACACACACACACACACACACACACACACACATACATATACACACACACTATATTGCCAAAAGTATTGGGCCAGCCCTCCAAATCATTGGATTCAGGTGTTCCAATCACCTCCATGGCCACAGATGTATAAAATCATCACCTAGGCATGCAGACTGCTTCTACAAACATTTGTGAAAGAATGGGTCGTTCTCAGGAGCTCAGTGACTCCAATCGTGGTACCGTGATAGGTTGCCACCTGTGCAATAAGTACATCCGTGACATTTCCTTGCTACTAAATATTCCACAATCAACTGCTCACTGATTGGTTGATTTAGATTACTGCTTATCATTGCCACTCACTGATTAGTTGCCAGAGGTTACAGTGCATCATTAATGCTAACTGATTGGTTGCTAGAGGTTACAGTAGATCACTACTGTTCACTGACTGGTTGCTAGAGGTTACTGCAATATATTAACGCTCACAGAGCAGTGGAGCAATCCCAAATAACTGAGCTAGAAAAGCGGCATATTTAATACACATACTATAAGAGATGGTCAGAAACTGTAGACATTCTACAGAAGATGACCAGAGACTGTGGATGTGGATGTACTACAGAAGATGACCAGAGACTGTGGATGTGGATGTACTACAGGAGATGACCGGAGACTGCGGACACAGTACAGGAGATGACCGGAGACTGCAGAAACAGTACAGGAGATGACCGGAGACTGCGGACACAGTACAGGAGATGACCGGAGACTGCGGACACAGTACAGGAGATGACCGGAGACTGCGGACACAGTACAGGAGATGACCGGAGACTGCGGACACAGTACAGGAGATGACCGGAGACTGCGGACACAGTACAGGAGATGACCGGAGACTGCGGACACAGTACAGGAGATGACCGGAGACTGCGGCCATAGTACAGGAGATGGCCAGAGACTGCGGACGTACTACAGGAGATGACCAGAGACTGTGGATGTACTACAGGACATGATCAGAGACTGTGAATTTACTACAGAAGATGATCAAAGACTGTGGATTTACTACAGGAGATGATCAGAGACTGCGGATGCACTGCAGGAGATGATCAGAGACTGCATATGTACTACAGGAGATGATCAGAGACTGCAGATGTACTACAGAAGATGATCAGAGATTGCAGATGTACTACAGAGATGATCAGAGATTGCAGATGTACTACAGGAGATGATCAGAGACTGCAGATGTACTACAGGAGATGATCAGAGACTGCAGATGTACTACAGGAGATGATCAGAGACTGCAGATGTACTACAAGAGATGATCAGAGACTGCATATGTACTACAGAAGATGATCAGAGACTGCAGATGTACTACAGGACATGAGACTGAAAACGTACTACGTTTTTAGATGTGTGGGCCATGCATCTAAAAATACAGAGCATTTTGCGGGTATGGGAACTGCACGGAAATTGCATGGTGCAAAAGCACCATGCGATTTCAAGGCCACTCCCACTATCACCTCCTACCCCGCGGTGTCCCGGGCATACAGGCAACATGACATGGGGTGGGGTCAGAGCGTCACTGCAGCTCACAGCCCCACCCACTCCTACCTAGCTGGGGATTCAGAATCAATAGACACTGTGCTGCTGCCTGTCTCCTGCAGTCCTGTCCCATGTCATCCATGAACAGTGTGTGTTCCCGGCCGGTTGTTCTGTAGTGCCAATGGGGGGCCCCAATTTTGCAGGTAGCACAGGTTTAAGGTGCAGCTGCTTTGGGCCCCAAAACAATGATTGGGTCCTCGGCAGCTGCCCCTTTTTGTTAAAGACGGCCCTGGATACCACAGCATACCAAGCCTCACATCACCAACTGCAATGCAAAGCATCGGATGCAGTGGTGTAAAGCACGCCGCCACTAGTCTCTACAGCGGTGGAGATGTGTTCTATGGAGTGACCAATCACGCTTCTCTGTCTGGCAATCCAATGGATGTGTCTAGGTTGGGCGGTTGCCAGGAGAACGGTACTTGCCTGATTGCATTGTGCCAAGTGTAAAGTTTGGTGGAGGGGGGATTATGGTGTGGGGTTGTTTTTTCAGTGGTTGGTCTTGGCCCCCTAGTTCCAGTGAAGGGAACGCTTAAGGCATTAGCATACCAAGACATTTTGGACAACGTCATGCTCCCAACTTTGTGGGAAGAGTTTGGGGATGGCCCCTTCCTGTTCCAACATGACTGCGGTCCATAAAGACATGGAGGAGCCCGTTTGGGGTGGAGGAACTTGACTGGCCTGCACAGAGTCCTGACCTCAACCCCATAGAACACCTTTGGGATGAATTAGAGTGGAGACTGTGAGCCAGGCCTCCTCCTCCGACATCAGTGCCTGACCTGACAAATGTGCTTCTGGAAGAATGGTCCAACCTTCCCATAGACACCCTCCTAAACCTTGTGGACGGCCTTCCCAGAAGAGTTGAAGCTCTTATAGCTGCAAAGGGCGGGGCCAACTCAATATTGAACCCTACGGACTAAGACTGGGGGGCCATTACAGTTCATGTGCGTGGAAAGGCCGGCCGACCAATACTTTTGGCAATATAGTGTATATATATATATATATATATATATATATATATATATATTGTGGCAGTACGGTATCCTGCCACGTTGGAAATCACGATGGAGACCCAGGATTCTCAACCATACAGGTTGAGGGGCTCCAGGCAGATCTCATAATCTCATAATGCAGAGGAAACTGGTTTATCAGTTTCCTCTTTGGTTTGTAAAGCCTGATATGAAAGTGACTGGAGAGAAGCGCCTTAGTATTAAACAATTGTAAAGCTGCTATGCACGAATGAGGTACCAATAACCCCTAGAAGACCTTACTAAACATAAAATAAAGTGCAGCGCTAAACATATATAGGTAATGACATGTATTCAATCAGTTCGATCAATAAAAAGTCCTCCTCAATTAGGTGACAGAGATTAGGTGCTCAAGTATGCAGGTGACTTAGGTATTCAGGTGACTTGGTTCAGGTATCCGTGCACGAAAGTGATAAAGCAATGCGCACTCACCAGACCCGCATAAAATATGCGCCTTTGTGTATAAATGATCCAGGTGTCATCCGATACTGGGTGGTCCTCCCTCAGCTGTGTATGAGGCTGATGATCCTCTCCACTTAGGGGTCCCCCTGGTGTTGGACGTTAAAGGATCTGGTCTGGGTCCCTCCGGTGTATCCAGGAGCAGGTCTGCAAATTAGAGTGCTCCCCCTGTAATTGCCAGTGCTTGTGAAAATTAGTACTTGTCGGAGGACTGTCAACAGCAACACAGCATCACAAAAAGTTTTGACCCTCTAGCCAGAGAAGTCAAAAACAAGAATGCTTATATTATGGATTCCACCAGACCTCCTTCCACATCAAGCCTTATATGTGGACCCACCAGATGAGCAATGGACTATTCTGTTGGATCTCCTCCTGTAATAAGTTAAAGCTCAGATCCAGCCTCTTTGCAAAATGACCATATTTGCAAGCAAGAAATTGAAGGAGGTCTCTGCAGAGCACGACGGGGAGACGGTGACCGGCGCCCAGGTGTCATACATCGGAAAAGATTGTGCAGAAATTCCACAATTTCTTGCTTGCAAATATGGTCATTTTGCAAAGAGGCTGGATCTGAGCTTTAACTTATTACA